TGTGTGTGTGTGTGTGTGTGTGTGTGAGAGAGAGAAAAGCAGCCTCGTGGGGACCGAAGTGAATCGTGGGGACCACTGCCAGGTCCCCACGGGTCCAAATGTATGTTACAGGTGTGGGGTTAGGTTTAGGACCAAGGTAGGACAATGGATTTGATTGTAGAAAAAAACAACAATTTTTTATACTGCAAATCAAGTAATCATGTTAAAAATCAGGTGTTCATGTTAAAATTATGGTTTCATTTGCATCCATATTAGATTCATATTAGATCAAAGTCCTCCAAGCCAAGCTCTCAGGATGAATTTAAAGCTCAGCCTCTCCTGACCTTGAGTGAAAAATGTCTGACTTACCTCGTGACATTTTTGACTGAACATAAATCATGAAATGCTTTTCATAGAGTCCAACAGTTACTCTAAACATAACATGTGAAGATGTTTAATACTGACATATTCAACCTTTAAATCTGACACAGGTCTATAAAATGGTCATTACAGTTATATTCCTCCCCAGCACCCCACACCGGTCCCGTCTCGTCCCGATCTCACTCTTAGGTTTTTTGAAAAGTTGGTAGCCCTGGTAAAATAATTAGCATTTTTATCCTGAAACTAATTAGAGTGTAAAATGATCTCATTTTTAAAAGCACCGTTAGATCATTTTTATGATAATTAATTTAAAATTTATTTTTTTTAAACACATGATTACACTAGTCCTCCTTTTCTCCTTCATCATGAATCCCAGCACCTTCTTGCTCCTCATCGGGCAGCGCCGCGCCACGCACACTTCCTGTGAGTCACCGCCTCTTCCTGTAATTGGCATGCAGCAGCGGTAGCGGCAGGAAGCGGAGCGACTCTTTAAAGATGCATGTGGGACAAGAAGCTGGAGAAACGCTGACGTCATCCTTCGCTCGTCTCCGTCTGTCCCCCTTCCCCATCCCTCCCTGCAGCTCAGGCGCAGAAAACAAACCAAACAAACAARAGAACATCATAATTAGCTAGTGGTCTGGTTCTGCTTTATTAGTCAAACTGTTCAAAACTATCTGGTCGGCATCAGCTTATTGCTTTGTCAGTCCAGATCAGTGCAGAGGTGTTCCCTCATACAGAACRAGGTGAGAAGTAGAGGTCAGAATGCTGCAGACGGGTTCAGGGTCCGGTCGACTCACGACCCCTCGAACTGTTAAATGTGACACGACAAGAAGGAACCAATCCCATCTGTTGGATCCTGAGGATGCTTTCTGGTAACGTCACTCCTTTAGCAGCAGTTGGTGAAGCTGCAGCCCCCTCTAGTGGCTGAAGAACAGCTATAGGTCTAATCCTGGTCCTCCAGGGCCACCATCCTGCATGTTATAGAGGGTTTTTCCCCACTCCAACATGCCTGATTTGAATGAATGGGTGATAAACAGGCTACTGATGAAGCTGAAGAGGTCATTTATTCACTGAATCAGGTGTGTTGGAGTGGGGATAGCAGCCCCTCAGGGACCAGGATTGAATAACCTTTACTTATAATATGTTAAAATATATACATATTTTTACTGAGAGATAAGTCATCACTAAAATCTTTTTTGTTTTACTTGTTAATTCACTTTATTTGCTCAAACCTTGTCTCTCTATCATCATCTGCCTTCTAACTTGCTGAGTCATGCTGCTGGCATCGCTGCAGTTGTCTTTGTACCGTTTTATTACATTCATAACTCCAGCACTAAATACTTTCATGTGCTTTCCTTCCACGCTCTGTCATGTGACCCATGACTTCTGTCTGGTTTTCTCAATGAGCTTTATTTATTTTATTTATGTTTTTGTCTTTCTGGCTGCCTATCATGTCAGCAGCCAGCAGCTCCTCTACCTGTTCCCAAACCTGAACAGACTGTCTTCTCCTCACTTTAACTACCTCTGTCTCCCTCGTTTTGTCGTGTCGCGGGTTCATTTTTATCTCTTAGAAAGAGAACACAAACAGAGGTGACTAGAAAAAAAGTTATTTATGTACTTATCTGCACAGAGTCTCTGCATCATTTCAAACAAATAACTGATGTTTTCAGTGACRACACCACCTACCTATTTCGTGAAGAGGTGAAGTTCTGATCTTTTGAAGTGGGACTCTGAAAAGAATATGAACAAACATCTTACCTGTCGTAGACGGCTCTTCAAACCACCTTGGTGGAAATAGTTTCCAGTTTGCTATTTTTAAAATTAGTTGTAAACATAAATTCAAAACAATGACAAAAAAAATACGAGCATCCATACAAGACAAAGTATATTTTCAGTGAAGACCCCCCCGATGGTTCGATATTTTTGTTTAGTAGCATTTTTTGGTTAAATRTGCTCCAGTAACACCTGTTCATTTATGTTTTTTAATGACACATCTTCTATTGACTAGTCTATATACAGTGTGTATATATATATATATATATATTTATGTTTTTTAATGACACATCTTCTATTGACTAGTCTATATACAGTGTGTATATATATATATATATATATTTATGTTTTTTAATGACACATCTTCTATTGACTAGTCTATATACAGTGTGTATATATATATATATATATATTTATGTTTTTTAATGACACATCTTCTATTGACTAGTCTATATACAGTGTGT